CCCCAAAACCCCAAAACCCCACTTTACAGAATTAAACAATTATTAGCACTTTGGCATGAAAATGAATATTATATTACTATAAATTAAGTCGGAGATATATTGTTACAAATACTTATATGAACATGTTAAAGTCTTACTATGTTCAATGAATCCATTTCTTATCATGCCCTCCTGATATCTAGGGCTCAACTAATCCTCTAAATTCGCATCCATCCAACGACCATCTAGCTCCATAACCTTTTGATTCTCTAATCTCAAGAATGTTAATTGTGCTTTTACTGTTGAAAGTATGTATGTTAATCCATATACATTCATTAAGAACTTTATTTACGGTCTTTACCGCATTCTCGTTCCTCTATCTATCATTCAACCCACTCTATGGACCCCAGAACCCCTCACTTGATCTTGGGGCATGTTTTTGCATCGCTCTTGCCCCGACAGTAATAATTGGTGGATTATTCCCACTTCTTTTCAGTTCATCCTCTGTTTATACCATGTATAACCTGGTGAACGAATCAACTAAAGATTTCCTCTCTGGTGGAAGGAGATCCTAAGATCCAGCCGTTCTTCTCAAGCCCAAACACAATAAAAACCCTGCGGGTTCCAGAGCTAAAAATTGATTTTAATTATTTAAACTGTCAAATGTGATAAAGAATTACCGATAAAGAAATCCAGTAGTTCTTTTTATAATGCTCTCGGAGATCGATCTACTTAATTGACTTCCTTAAAGACATCAATAACCATAGGTGTTAGTTTATTGAGGGTTTCTATGAATTTATCCGTGTCATCAGTCTCAGATAACCCTGGCATCTTTTTGAAGCTAATAGGAAACTAACTAGCTTATTTCCATAAACTTAGAATTACGCAAACCTATAAAATGATTTTATTTTTCCGACCGTAATTGAATTAAAATTAATGCTTACTTATTTCAAAAAGTTCCCTTATGGATAACCTTGAAAGAAATATAGAGGTTAAGCTACCGATGATGACAAATTTTACTAGTTGTTTTGGGGTTGATTAGATTATCTTTGAATATTGTAATTAGTTTGCTGGATAGTTGTGTGTCTGATAATTTCTTGAAGAAATGACTGGGAAAATTTGCTTATGAGTTATGCCTACTTCGTCTCAAATATCACCTTCGAATTAGCGTATAATCTATCATTAAGAGCTACAACTACTGGCTGATTTGTATTAGCGTTAACTTGTTGGTTGCTTGGAGTAACAAGAGTGACTTATCTGTGGTTACTTCCTGAAGAAGTTTGCATTAATTTCAAGTTCTAAAATAATTATTAATCAATCTCCATTTAAAATTGCTACTCTAAACAAACCTACAATACCGTCTAAAATTAAATTAATTTGTTAAATTCGCTACAAATTAAATTTGAAAATGGCATCTAATAATATCGCTAATATGAGAATTTCTCTAAGTTCCTCAACGAACTAGATCTAGGATTTAATAGCTCAAGATTTGCAAAATCAGATCGATTCTATGAAAAAGGAGATGCGCAGTAAAGATTAAGATTTCGAGAAGCAAAAAGCTCTACTTTAATAGAAAATTAATCTTTATTAACAGGAGATTCAAGAATTAGAGGAAAAGGAGTAATCTTAGAAAAGGTTATATGATAAGATGATAAGCGCACTTGATCAAAGTGATAGTAATAAAATAACTAATGATGAGATTTAAGAATATCAAAGGAAAATTTCTGATTTAGAATTAGAGTTGGAGAAAAGTAAGTCAGAGTACAAGATGCGAATATTGATGCTGCAAGATGATTTAAATACTGAGAGATAAATATTAATGAATTTAAGATAGGAAAACGACTTGCTAAACCTTAAGGTTAAGGAGATGTAGAGCTCATACGAAATTCAGATTACTGAAAAGAATCTTAAGATTAAATAGCTAGAGGAAAGCCTACTAAGGAAGGACGAGTAAAGACGCCAACTGTTAGACTTAAAAGAATAGGATCATTAGGGTAAACTAGCCAAGTTGCTGTAAGAGACTAAAGATAAGCTGGATTAACTTCAAAATTTAAAGCAAACTGAGCTTGAATGCTAGAAGTAATTATTCGACTAAAAATATCTAGATTTAAAGGTATAGAATGATGAAGAAAATTAAGTTTTTGCTATTGAAAATGCAAATCTAAAGACTAGAATAACAGAAATGGATGAAATAATTAAAGAAAAGGAGAGGTAAATAGAAAAGCTAAAAACTGAATAATCTAATCAGATACAAATTGGCTAGCTGGCTTCTTAATTTGAGTAATTCCGTCTGCAATCTTAGGAAGGTAATGGTAAATATCTCTAAGAAAAAGAGGAGTTGAGACAGAAAGCAGATAAAATGGAGAAGCTGTACATTAAGACTAAAGCCGAATTCAAAACATAGTTAAGCGTGCTTGAAATGAACAACAAACAACTTACTTCAAAGATTTAAAGCTAGTAGATAGTAGTAGATCAAATGGATGTTATTCGAGAAGAACTGAAAAAGTATAAAAAGATAGTGAATACATACAAAGAAAAGGATAGTAAATTTGAGACGAAAATTAAGGATCAGTAGAAAGTATACTTAGAATAGGAGGACAACTTAAAAAAGGACTTGGAAATTTATAAAAGTTAAAATAAAAAGTTGAAAGTCGAAATAGAGTAAATTAAGATTATGAGTGCTAAGGTCAAGGATGATATTGAAAAACTGAAACTAGACCACATTAAGGAGATATCTAATTACAAGTAATCAATTGAAAAGCTGAGATCTAAACTTAAGAGATATACCTTAAGCTCATAAAATAATTGCAACAATCCGAATACTGTAATTAATGCCTCTATTACATTAAGTGGTAATTAGCAGAACATCTAATTTGACCAAGAAAACCAGCCTTATTATGAAGATATGTCTGAATATTAGAGTTCTTTGGCCTTGCATAAATACAACAAACACTCACAGATAACATAGGAGAATAATAAAAGAGACAACTTAGGCTATTCAAAGCATTAGCCCTACAGTTCTACCCTCTCTGGTAATAACATCTTGATATCAACAAATTCTCAGACCTAAAAAAATGTTGAATTAAGTAGGCAAAAGAGCGCCGGTAAACTTACATCTAAAGCTCAAAGTTCAAAGACCTTTAATCTTAGTTCAACGAATGAGTAAGTCAATAGCAATTCAAATAAGGGTAGTTTGATTGAAACAAAACCAATGAACAACAGAAATAAATCACCTCTGAGTCAAATAATGACTGATAGCAATATTAGAAGCTCGACAAATATGAGATCATCACTTATTGCAACACCAAAAGATAAGTACTAATTGATTAATAATCAAAGTAACAACAGGAATCAGGAACCTCAAACAGTAAGTGATTATATGATCAAACCTCAGAGCAATAAAATGTATGATACAAATCAATTAGCAAAGTCAATAAGTTAACTTAATTTTGGCTTGCAAAACAGGCATAGAATGACTTAAAATTTCTCAATGGTAGACTCAAACCTCTAAACTTCTATTCTACCATCACCTTATGAACCAGTTTAGACTGAGCACGATATCTAACATAACAAGATGGAAATAATACATTAAGACATGAAATAAAATCATTATGTTGACTAAGTAAAATCACTTAAGAAAGAAATTTAGAAGCTTGTTACAGTCCTTATGCAAAAAGAGGGGAAGTTGCCGGAAAACCAAAAATTTACCAATGGTTAATTTGTAATAAAAGTTCATAATAAAAACAAGAAAAAGAAAAAGGATATTACTGTTGACCAATATGAAGATGCTACTATGGTTGTGGATGAGTTGAGTGAAGATCTCAACCTACTTGATGACAGAGAGAAGAAAGATAAATCTAACAGAGTACTAGACTAGCAAGGGTACTCACCCAGACAGTTATTCAATATTTATCCATCTTTATCACCCAGAGGTATTTTCGATAAGTTTAATTGACGAACCATAATCAAATTTATTTAATTAACTTGAATTGCCAGTTTGAGATAAACTTAATGTATTTGAGTCAAGGGGTTTTGGGGTTTTGGGGTTTTGGGG